CACCTCTGGTGGGAATGCATTGTGGCCAGAGGTTTCTGGGAGTGGTTTTCCCGTAATATGCGGTTCGCTACTTGTGGTCCTGAGAGGGTGTGGACCAGAGACTTTGTCATGGCACTGCTCGGAAGCACGGGCAAATCTCACAAGGATATCCTTGCTAACAAGTTTTGTATTGTAGGCTTTTGGGTCTAAGAATTGTGGTTAGCAAGACGGGACAGGCATTTTAAAGATAAAGTGTGGTCAGAGTATGTCATCTGTAACAAATTCAAACTCGCAGTCTGTAACCTGTTGGCCGCAGAATGGAGGAAAACAAGGAGGGGCAGTCCTACTTTGCAGTTGGCAAAGGTTACCTTCCTCTTGGAGTGGAGCAACGTCCTTCAAATCGGTTCATTTCTCCTCCCTCAACCACTTGGTGGTTACCAAGCATCTGTGTGATCAGGCAGAGGATGTGCAGATATAATCCTGAGCTTAGATCTTTTCTGACTTTTATTTGTCCAGTTTAACATGTTTCTTTTTTTCGAGTATATTTGTCCAGTTTAACCTGTTTTATGTTTTTCGAGTATTGCAGTGCTAGCCGGCTAGCGCGTCAAGGCACCCTGCAGGGGACCGACTGGCGGGACCCAGTCTGCTCCCCTTGCAAGACGGCGGGGGCTACCTCTGACGTGACCTCAACGGAGTCAACGCTGATCCGTCCGTGTGGGCGCTCGAGAAGCGTCGAGGGGACCTGCTGAAGGGTTGGGAATGGTGATGACGATTGGGGAGGAAATGGAGCTGCAGGGCATCTCTCCTGCTGTGCAGTGTCCTACGGAGCAAGCTATGACGGAGGAGTATACTGCAATGATCGGGACAATGTCTTTGTACAAGCAGCAGTTGGAGGAGGTGTGGGCGCTGCTGATTCAAGAGCAGAGCAATATACCGGCGCTTGAATTTCTGACGGAAGGAGAGGTGACTTTTGAGGGATGGGAGAAAGAACTATATGCCATCGTCTCCCTTCAACAGTTGGATGAGACCGACAGAGCACAGGGGGAGGCCGGCCTACACCAGTGTGCCAGACTGCTCCCGGAAGTGAGACGAATGTTTGCGGAGCTTCGTGCGGCAGTGGAGAGGAGCTGTTTACCTGGGGAGCGGGTTTTTGCTACGGTGCCTACAGTGGTCTCTTCTTTGCATGAACAACGCAATGATGCTGGGCTGTATCTGGATATCTGTGACCCTGAGAGAGCTAGTGGGGATGGCGGCGGATCGAGGGTCGACTACCTGGAGCAACTCCAAGATAACTATGACAACATACATGATGATTTTGGCTGTGGGAGAATAAGAGTGCAGCAGGGGAGGTAAACAGTCTCTCAACTGGCGCTGGAGCGACAAGGAATGCGAACGGCAACCTCCCCTCTCCCTGCTCAATGCACAGTCATCAATGACCATGACGATAAAAAAAGGGAGAACTGGCTTCGGCACTTGAAGGCACAACATGGGGGGGGGGTGAGATGACAACTTGCCATCTGCACGATGCTGCTCGAACGTGTCTTGGTGCAGGAGCAATTAACAAAAATAAAGGGGAGGGTCAACTGCAAAGTAATTCACTGACTCTCCTTGCTTGCGGACATTATGTGAAGGTGAGTGCGGGCTGTCCTTCTGCTTTTTTGGAGTATCAACACACGGGATGATGGAGGAGTACTCTCCTCCCTTGCCAGCTCCGACTGGGACAGCAGTTGGAAGCAGGATGAAGCGACTGAGTTGGGTTGGAAGGGGGCAGTATCAGAGATTCGGGAAGGGCAGAGGGGAGTGGAAAGTCCCCTGGGACGAAGGAGGAGGAATGGGTGGTGGATGGCAGGATGGGAGATCCCAGAAGGGCAGAAGGGAATGGAAAATCCCGTGGGTTAAAAGGGGTGGCTGAGGGATAGGGTGATTGTGACAAAGAGGCAGGAGGACGATGGTCAACGGGTCGCATGTCCCGTGCCACGTCACCTGGTGTATGAGCCTGGCGTTTCGTAAAATTTGCCTCCCATGGTTCCTCCCTGTCAGTCTGTGGAATCTGTGACTGTGTAAAGTAGGTTAATACACAAATTTTCCCATCTTTTGGTGTCGGATTACGCAGCGAATATTGCAAATAAAGAGGTTGATAACTGTTTGGATAATGGTAATCGGCATCTGCACATTGCAGGGGGGTTGGTTGAGATTGAGATCGAAATTCGTGTTCCCTGACCAGCAGATGTCATTCATGATATTAGGATAGAAGGTCGATGATAGTAGGTGCCTGCACGCTGTACGGGGGGATGGTTAGGATTGACCTCCCGGTGGGCGCCTTGACGATGTGCATAAAACAATTATAATTGTGATTTAACGTGTGCATGGGATAGGTGGGTGAGTTGGGAGTTCTTGGATTGGAGGGTTCTGGAGACTCCCTCTTTGTACTACAGTGGTTTCGTCAAAACGGACATTTTATATTTTTTGAACGAAATTGAAATTGTCATTTTTGAGATGATTGAAGTGCAAAAAACATTACAAATGGGCGTTCTGGTGTGAGGGAAAAGGGGTAAGGTATAAGGGGTAAGGTATAAGGGGTAAGGGGTAAGGTGTAAGGGGTAAGGTGTAAGGGGTAAGGTGTAAGGTGTAGGGGGGTAAGGTGTAAGGTGTATGGGGTAAGGTGTAAGGTGTAAGGTACCATGCAAGGGCAAGTGACACAGTACACCGAGGAATAATTAACACCTTATATACATTGTTTTTTGTCAAGCGCCATCTCGTGCCAACCACGTCCGCCGCCTTCGCAATCATACTATAGAATATCACATACGCACTACTCACGAGCCACTAGGTCCAATGCCATCCGACGACATATCGCGGGTATGTCATCTGCGGTGAAACAGAAAGACGGAAGTTGGCCCCGTGCCAAAAGTGACGCGTACGTGAGTACAAAGACCCCACATTCGTTCGTGTCATGTTGCTTTGGAATGCCCTCTACATTCCATATGTGATTGAATGGTCTCGTGTCCACCTCTTTGCCTTGCACTTTCGATCTTTCGAATAAAAACTTTGCAAACCCGCCGGTCACTTTTAACGCGAACTCCTTGTTGGGGTCGAGGGGGTCGTAAAATTCGAATTTCCTCCTCCTTAAGTCAGCCACGACCAAGGTCCAGTGGTCCTGGTGTGCGATATGGAAAGGAGCAATAATCAGATCCATGTCACTTATAATTACATCCTGGTACCAGCGTTCTACCTCTCGGCCTCTATATCTCATGTTATGATCGAAAAGTTTGACAAAAAAAAACGAACTCAGCACTGATAATCTGGGAATGCGACCGTTTCCTTCTCTAATGACTATCTCATTATCCGCGTCGCATTCTACGTGCTGTATTCTACAGCAGTTGTCTAATGCTACGAGGTTGAGATAAAAGTTGATCACGTTGTCATTTAACCACTGTTGTTCGACGGCGAGTAAAAGAAAATCGCTGCGAGTGAGTTGCAACACTTCGTTATTGTGCGCATCTTGTGTGCTGACATCGGGGTACCTCTTCCCGTATTCGCGAATGATATGCGCTAGTGCTGCCAACTCCCTCTCCGATAAAGACGAAGTTGCGAGATGCATTGTCCATCCTCTTTTGCACAATCTTGTATCCGTTGTTGTCATTTGTACTGCACACCACAGACAATGAGGAAGAGGACATTCACGCGGGCGGACGGGGCAAGTATTGTGAGTGCATGGCCAAACGCTTTGTGAGAGCTGATGCGTGCAAGGCATGTTTTCATTATTTCTCTAATCTTTTACTTGTATGAACGTCATTCACATATGCA